TGACTTGGCTACTTCGTACAATAATATTGGTTTGGTGTATAATCATATGAATGACTATTCTAAAGCATTGTCATTTCATGAAAAAGCACTAGAAATTCGTCAACAAATTCTTCCATCCAATCATCCTGACTTGGCTAGTTCTTATAATAACATTGGTTCTGTTTATGAAAACATGAATGACTATTCCAAAGCACTATCATTACATCAAAAAGCACTGGAAATTCGTGAAAAAACTCTTCCTCCAAATCATCCAAGTTTGGCTGTATCTTTTGGCCATATTGGAATTGCTTTGTCTGAAACTGGAGACCATTTGAAAGCTATCTTATACTGTGAGCGGGCTCTTAAAATAGTAGAAGATTCACTACCAGCTAATCATCCACATATTCAATTATATAGAGATAATCTCGAATATGTAAAAAAGAAAATTTAATTGATTTCTACTATGTTCGAAGAAATAAATGTAATAAAGAGATCTTCTCTCTGATTGAGAACAAGCTAGGGCAGCATTCATTGGTAATGTAACCATTATATATTCCAATGAAGGATATGTATTGTAAATAAAAAACCTTCAAGGATTACTTATGTTTCAGTAAGCAGATTTTTTTATGTCGAAAATAAAGATACGCGACAGTCTGATAGAAAATTATTTGATTCATGTCATAAATCAGATTCCTTGCTTCAATTTAACAACAATTAATTACACGGAAAAAAAAGAAAATGATCGTCGATTGACTGATTTATTTCTATCTCTAATTGCAGTACTGTTATATTTGAAATAGAAAGAGTAATTCAATGGATGAGTCAGAATAGTAATAACTAAATACATTGAAAACACTGAATTTATATATGATTAGAGAAGATAGTGTTTTTTTAGCAGAAGAAAAATTTACAATTGTTTGATTTGTCTATGCGTATGTAGACGATATATGTATATCATTTATTGATTTAATATAAGAAAAGAAAGAAAAATAAATAGTATCGTTGATGTGAAATCAAGTTTGAATGGATGAAGTATGTGAATATGATCGTTCTAAATGATTTCAATTTTGTTCTTGAGTATTGTCTGATTGAATAGTGTTTTTGTTTGGTAAATAGAATAAGAAAAATTCGAAGTAAAAAATTGATGCATTAATCCATTCAGTAATGAACATCGTTGGAAAAGTGTAAAAGGATCAATGTATTGTTTGGTTTTATTTTCTACGATCGAAGAACAGGAACGAAGAAAACCTTGAAAGGTACTCTAAATTAAAGAGTGCCGTCTAATTTATGATCTTGGTGTGTGGGTGTAGGTATGGGTATGTTCTTAAGATTCTTTCTCCTACCGATGCCCACACCCAGACCCAGACTTACGCTCACAGCCATATCTACATCCACATCCACACCCACACCCACACCCGCACCCACACCCTCAGATAATCGAGTTGTGTATCTTTACCATTACGGAACTATTTTATTGAGGATATATTGTCTGTGGTTGAAAACAACTATAGAGTTAACTTTTGCGTGACATTAAGCTTTGAAACCAAAGTAACTCTTCAAAATATAAGTGTAAGAATGAAACTAATATTTTATAATTAGATAAAAAAATTTATTCGAATTTAATTTGAAAAATTCTTCATCAAAATTAACAACAAATTCATTTTACCTTGATTTTCAATATTACTGCTGTTCAATCTGCCCATCAGTTAACACACCAAATTGTGATAGTAACTATATTATTGTAATTTTACATAGACTTACATTATTCTCATACAATATATGAGTGTAGTTATTTTTTTATTTTTACCTCCGTTTGAACCAAGAAAATTGAATATAGTTTTTGGATCATCCATTTATGAATTATATTATTAGTTTCAAAATCATCATGAAATATTGTTGCTTCACAATCATCACCATTTAACTTGCAAGTATCGTTTATGTTTTTTTTTCGTGTTCTGTTTATTGATATAATAGTATATGTAAAATATTCGTTATAAAGTTTGCATAAAGTCAAATATGTTCGAGCATTTGTATTAGTTTCTTGTTTAAAAAGGACTAGAAAGATTTTGTTTTATCTGAAAAATTTGAACTATAGTTTATTTTTTATCAACTTTGATTTTATCTGGTTTTTATGCTGCATATAAACATTTACTTTCAATAAAAAATATGGTGGAAGTTTTTGTTGCTTCTGAATTTTTAGTTTATAAATAAAAAATTGAAATTAAACTATGGTTAAGATATTTATGTCTTTTTATCAAATGATATTTAATACATTGTCATATTTTTATGTTCTTAGCCTATGAAAAGGTAATGTCTTATCTTTTAATAAAATATGGTATGAAAGTATTGACAAGGTAAGAAAGAAAAACAGATTGCATGCTGTATTTAATAGATAAGGGCTTGTTAGTGTAGACAACACCACGTGTTTTTTTACCGATACAAACCGAAGAAACAAATTATTTTTTGCGGATTCAAAGAATGTCATTTTTAAATGGTTTATTTGGTCTCTTTAAAAAGTTGACCTTATTTATTTTGATTTTTGCTATTGCTATTCCTCTTCGTTATGGTTCAACAAATCTTAAATATCTTCAATTTCGTGTATTACATTCTATGCTATCGTTGAAATATTCTTTCGTACCGGATCAAGTTCGACCGACACTTAGTGCAGAATATCGAGCATTTGAAACTCTGCTACGTATGAACCCACCATCGAAACGTGATCCATTTGCTGATTTACTTACTTCAGTCAAAGAATTCCGAGCATCTTTTAGATTCGATACTATCCTTCCTAAACCATCTCAATGTCAAGTCAATAAAGAAATATTTGAATATAATGGACATACAATAGATGCATATTGGATTAATAATCATCAAAAAAATTTTACAAGAAATCTCGATAATGTATTAGTCTATTTGCATGGTGGTGGATATATGTTCGGTGATATTCAAGGTGAGTTGTCTGAAATATTGAGACGAATGATCAGTTTTGTTCAATAACGAGTATTACCTAAGAAAACCAGCATAATTCATTTGTTTGTTGAAGCTATCAAAATTCTGAAGACTCATTAAATCAGTATCTAAAAGATCGTTTCATAATTGTCCAAAAAATACTATAGATCAGTATATTGTTTTTTTTTCACAGGCTATAGTGGATATGAATGTCATTTGTCTCAACTTTTCAACATATCTGTACTTCATGTGGAATATCGTCTTATTCCTGAACATCCATTACCATCAGCTGTCGAAGATACAGTTGCAATCTATCGTGCTCTTCTTCACAATTACACTTCATCGTCTCAAATAATAATTATGGGTGATTCAGCTGGTGGTGGACTTTCTCTGTTAACAATTCAAGCTTTAATTGCTCAACAACTTCCAGTTCCTCGTGGTATCATTGTATTGTCACCATGGACTGATCTTTCAGCATCTGGTGAAAGTTATACACGCAATCATCTTACTGATGTAATGATTTCAGCCGCAGATAGTAAATGGATAGCTTCACACGTATTCGGTCCTAATCATTCCAGATTATCTCTTGATAGTTCTATTGTTAGTCCTCTTTTTGGTTCATTTAAAGGATTTCCACCAATATATATTAATGTTGGTACAGCTGAAATATTAGAAGATGATTCAAAACGAGTATTTAAGAAAGCACAAGAAGCAGGAGTTGATGTTACACTTGAAGAAGGTTTACATTTAATGCATGTTTATCCAGCATTCTTTCCTTACTATCCGGAAGCACGAAATACACTTGATAACATTAATAAATGGATACAGACATTATTCGATCGTAAACATAATGAATAAATCTATGTTTTATTTTTTATTAGTTTGAATTGAAAAACGTGTTTTACTTTTTTTTTAAAGTGATTAAATGGTATTTTTGAATAACTTTAGACTTCTTTACAATATATCTCAGTATGTATCTATGGAATGAATGATGCGAAGGATGATCACATCTTCCACATTCTCTGAGATCTATCACAATAATACTTGAATTAATTTTTTTCTATTTAATTTAAAGCGACAATTAGTATTTCTTTATGTATAGTCGTGTTTTATATGTTTTTGATGCTTAATTCTCTGATTCACAGGTTTGATTGGTTTTAGTGTTAGAAAATGCAATATCATATCTGTAAGACACTTTTCTATTGTTAATATAATGAATTAAATGATCAAGAGTTATCTAGTTTATAAAGTATACAAGTTATATGTGAGTGTGGGTGGGTGTGGGTGTGGGTGTGGGTGTGCGAATATTCGAGCTATCAACACTCATCCCACACCCACACCCACACCCACACCCACACTCCACAGCCACACCCACCCACATGCACATCCTCTAGACATCACTGATCATCGTAAAGAGATACAACAAAATAGAAATATGAAAATAAATAAGAATAAATGATTAAATCAACAGTTTCTCATGACAATTTCCGCTTATTTTCATGGTTTTTTGGTACTTGAAGAAATAGTCTTTTCTCCATTAGATGAAGATCTTTTGCAATTTGGTTTTGCTTTCAAGTTTTCAGTCATTTAAGTCGATGATGACGGAATGGTACCACTTAGTGACATGTGGCTATTCTCTCTTGTTTGACTGTCAACGTCATCCACCTCCATTTCATGTTTCGATTCGTTCGGCATCGATGAACACTTACCACTTTCAGACAGCTAAAATAAATGTAGATCAGACTTTTGAAAAGATTGATGTCTTCTTCTTTGTTTTAGATGTTTTTTCTATTGGACAGTTCTTGTCACATCGTATGCAAAGGAAGATATTGAGGTTGACGAAGCAAATGCAACATATAACGGGTGTTCCAAAAAGAATGGCCACTCGTTGTATCATCATTTCCCTGATCATCTTTTGTCTTGGCGACCTCTCTTTTTTGCTTTTTTCATTCGTTTTCTGTCTCTCTATGAAATGACCGGTTTACTTTTCAAAAGAAATTACAAAATAAAATTTTTCAAGATGAAAAGTGAAGCTCTCCAGAAACTAGTACTTTCCAAATATCAAAAAGGTGAACCTCCAGCCAAAATCTTTGAAGACTTGAACGGTGCTGTAAGTTCTCGAATTATTCGGCGGTGGTGTGCAATGGCGAGACGCGCAGGTTCTATCAAATTATTGTACTCACCGGGTCGTCCACGCATTATTGGAACCAAAGGAATGATCCAAAAGGTGAAAAATCGAATGAAACGTAAAAAAAGTGTCAATTAGAAAACTTGCCAGTGAGCTGAATATCTTCAAAGGATCTGTTGTCAGAAACTTGAAACAAGATCTAGGATATCGTTCATACAAAAAAAGAGTTGAACCAGCTCTTACAGATCTCGAAAAGAGTAAAAGAATGACATTTGCAGATTGGGTGCGGCATAACTTCTGTAAAGACGACACCTTGAGTATTCTCTTCTCAGATGAGAAAATGTTCGATCTCGATGCCATCTACAATGCTCAAAACGATCGAATATGGGCAGTAAATCGTGAAGAGACTGACTAAAAAGGTGGTGTCAAACAGAAAAGGAAGTTTCCGCAGAAAGCAATGGCTTGATTATGTGCATGCTCCAAGGAATTGACACCATTAATTATTCTGGATCAGAGAACGATGCATCATGAACAGTACATCAATCAAGTGTTACCGGTGGCTTTAAAATATGAAAACGAGCCTTTTCGCGACAATTGGACCTTCCAACAGGATGGTGCCAAGCCTTATACACATACTGCAACTCAAGAATGGTGCCAGAAGAATTTCCCATCATTCATCGACAAGAATCATTGGCACCCAAACTTACCCGATCTAGGGGTGGCACTTTAACTTTTTTTTTAAAGTTAAAGTGGTTCTGTCATGCCATACTATAGGGGTACTCTTAGGTCCTCAAGTGCTATACTATAGGGGTACCTTTGGGTCCTTAACTGCTATACGATAAGGGTACCCTTAGGTCCTCAACTGTCACACTATAAGGGTACCCTTGGGCCCTCGAGTGCTATACTATAGGGGCACCCTTAGGTCCTCAAGTCCTATTATTAGAGGGTACCCTTGGGTCCTCAAGTCCCATACTAGGGGGGTACCCTCAGGTCCTCAAGTCCTACACTATGGGGGTACCCTTGGGTCCTCAAACACAAATGCCAAAGCTGTATTTCCGCCGTGTTGCACTGAGTAGAGCCCATACATATACACATCAATCGATAGAGCATCCTCGATAACCCTATAGTTGGCCCGAGCATGGCTATCTGTTGCACTTACAATAAAGGAAAAAAGGGCTCGTGAAATCTGATTGGTCTATTTTTGGACCAATCATATGGCATGATCTTATTTCTCAGTGTTGGGATGGATGGAAACCCCTACATATACCCATCAATCGATAGAGCGCCCTCGACAACCCTCTGATTGGCCCGAACATGGCTATGTGTTGTCCTTACAATAAGAGAAAAAATGGCTCGTGAAATCTGATTGGTCTATTTTTGGACCAATCATATAGCAGGATCCTATTTCTCAGTGTTGGGATGGGTGGGGACCCCCTACATATAGCCATCAATCGATGGAACATCCTCGATAACCCTATGATTGGCCCAAACATGGCTATGTGTTGTCCTTACCATAATAGGAAAAAGAGGCTTCTGAAATCTGACTGGTCTAGTTTTGGACCAATCATATAGCAGGATTCTATTTCTCAGTGTTGGAATGAATGGGCATCCCTACATATAGCCATCAATCGATAGAGCACCCTCGATAACTCTGTGTTTGGCCCGAACATGCTCATCGCTTTCTCTCACAATAAGGGAAAAAAATTTGAACCCCCTCGGGTACCCCCAATAATAGGATTTGGGGGCCCAAGGGTATACCCAATAATAGGACTTGAGGACCCAAGGATATCCTCAATAATAGGACTTGAGAACCCAAGGGCACCCCAATAATGGGACTTGAGAACCCAAGGGTATCTCCCAATAATAGAAATTGAGGATCCAAGGGCGCCCCCCAATAATAGGAATTGAGGACCCAAGGGTAACCCCCAATAATGGGACTTGAGGACCCAAGAATACCCCCAATAATAGGACTTGAGGACCTAAGGCACCCCTATAATATAGAAGTTGAGGACCTAAGGGTATCCCTATAATATAGAACGTGAGGTCCCAAGGATACCCCCGAATAATAGGACTTGAGGACCTAAGGGTGCCCTCTAGTATGGCATTGCACAAACACTTTAACTTTAAAAAAAAAGTTAAAGTTAAAGTGCTAAAATTTTTACTTTAATTAAAGTTTAAAGTTTTAAAGTGTTTTACTTTAACTTTAAACTTTAAAGTTTAAAGTGCTACTTTAACTTTAACTTTTAAAGTAAAGTTAAAGTGCCACCCCTAACCCGATCTCAACCCTGTAGACTACTCAATTTCGGATGAGTTTGGTTAACAAATCAACTGGGCAAAAGTCAAATAAAAAAAAACTCTGATCGATGAATAAAAACGAGGTGTCCATCAAATAAGAGAATTCGTTCTCTTGAGAAGTTGCAAAAGTTGGACCAACCGCTTGTATCGTTTGTCCAATAACAACGGAGATTATTTGCAATAAATCTTTGATAGGGTTTTGTAGAGCTTAGAAAGACGAATCTTTCGAAAAAAATTAAGTCTCTGGGGTATAAGATAAGCGAGTTAAAGGAAAAAAAAGAGTGGCCATCCTTTTTGGAACACTCGTTAGCAGTTGGCATCTGAATCTTCTTCAAGAACTTCTTCAATGAGACATAAAGTAGCTGAACGAAACATGACAAAGATAGCGAACAAGCATTTTATACATGAAGCATCAAGACAACGATACGACAAGTAACTGAAAGAATAGAAAGAGAACCTGTATATTCTGCATATCTTTTTGTCATCATTTGCTCAACGACACCATTTGATTGGTGGTGTCTAAAACCTATATTCTGTTCTCAACAGTGGATCGAAAACACCAGACAAGAATATCGTTGTCCACCTTAATGCCCTTTCCATTTACCAGCAGAAAATGACGTCCACCCCTATGAGATTGATAAAATATAAAATGACTATATAGGGCTCCGACACATGTCTTTTAAACTGAATACATGAAAATAAGTAGTTCATAATCTGACAAGCATATAGATACTGTTTAAATGTGCAAATTGCATGCTAGCATCCAATCACCATCATTATCAAGCTAATCTGATTCGTCACTCACTTTGGACTAAATCTGTTAATTGTAGACTTTTCTTCTGAAATGTGCAAACATGTATCAGGGTTTTTTAATAGGCTCACACCTACCATTAGGCTACTAGTAGTTTTTCAAATCCATCAGCCTTCCTTTCCTATGTCAGTGATCCTCACGAGTTCACTAATTCATTCTGATTTAGGTTAGCATACGTCATTTGAAGTGCATGTAGCTAAGACACTCACGAATATAAATCAGTTCATACCTTCTCCAGGTTTAGTCTCTGCTGGTCTAAAGCACTGACCAACTGCTGATACAATTCTTTATGAGGCGCTGCAATTCTCACAGGTTCATCATTCCCATATAGCATAATCGTATTTTCTGAAACAGTGACCGCACTTCCTTGCAACAGCATCGTATGCGTCACAATTGGGAGCCATCCAGGGCATTTGGTATCGAAAAATCGATCAATCCAGTGCCGAGCAGAAAAACCTTCCAGCCGAATATGCCTTGTTCTCTTGATTATTGACTCCAGCATTCGTAACTCCACCACATCCAGCTCTTTCAAAACATCTGAGCGACGAAGTATATTTTCCACCATCTCAGATACTTCCCATCGGTCTAAGACACATTTATTCCGTACTATTGCATTCATCAATC